GCTGCAATGAATTTCTGTGCAAAACAGCTTTTACTACAAACACTTCCACACAATGTGGAAGTGAAGGATGCGTGCACAACTATCATCATACTTAGGCAGTAGCACCCCTGCGCTGGGTGCGCCCCTCCCCCTATAACTGTTCTGTCTAGCGGAGGAGCTAATTTGTGTGCATCTGTGTGAAACACGCATAGGAAAAAAAGAATGACAGAAAGAACGGCTCCCCTCCAGCCGCGACTCGGCTCCCATCGTTCATGTTTATGAGCCGTTCAAAAGAATCGGTTCGTTCGCGAACGTCACAACTCTACTTCCCAATGCCTACTTTATCGGCCCGAACTGAGATTGCATGACCGCGTATCTTATCACCCATTTTGGGTTTCAGAAATGAGATGTCTTCATTTATATGTGTTGGAATGAAGAAAAAACAAACTCACTCTCTCTCTCTCTCTCGCACACAGGTTTGCAATTATATCTTTGAGGGAACTTTCAATTCATTTGTATGGGGAAAACTCCAATCCCAAAATGACGACCTTAACCTCTACCCAGCCCTAACCTTAACCATAAGTAACCAAACAAAATACGAGACTTTTGGCATTTTTACTTTTTTGATTGCATTCACAGATCTTTGTGGGGACCTGAAAAATGGTCTCCACAACGTCAAAATAACAGGTTTTTCTTGCAATGTGGGAGACATTTGGTCTCCATAATAATGTAATATAAACATAATCCACACACAGACACACGTTGGGATGTTTTTTTATGGATGTAATCAGGTTCTAATTCAAAAGAAATGTGTTAAAAGGTTTATTTTTTTCTAGAATAACTTGCACCTGTCATGTTTTTATGGGTAAGCTATGCAAATCTCTACATCCATACGCCGAGGCAGAGAGCACAATACACGGTACACCTTGGACGGAATAACAAACCGTCATAGGAAATACATGCTACGTGTAATATACCAAATTATTCAGCAGTGTACAGTATGTATACAGGTAACAAAAGAAACATTTCAGTAAATGAATGCTGTATACTGCTTTCTCTGGACAGGTGTAGCTCCTAAGTTTTGCAATGTCCTTTTATGCCCAAAGTCATGTATAAAATGCTGAGCAGAAAGACACCCCCAACTATAGATGCAAGGGAGCGCGAGACAGCTGTGTTCTGGACCTGAATGCAATGTAACACAGACAAACATCTCGGGTTATAAATCACTACAAGTGTCCACCTACAAAGTCCCATTTGTACAAGCAGTTGTGTCCTCCCAATATCAAACTCTCTCCTACGCCATTATGCTGAAAGGCTGCTGGTTTGCTCTGTTCAGCCAGTCCTGCGAGTCCCACCCATTTGCCGTTGCTATTGGAGCACTTCATCAGAGACACGGAACCAATAGGCAATTTGACTGAAGCAAAGCGTCAGAGTTTCAGCAATACAATAGTATATAACAGGGGTCACCAACATGGTGCCTGCGGGCACCAGGATGCCCCCAAGGACCACATGAGTCGCCCACAGACCTGTTCTAAAAATAGCACAACTCACCAGTGAGCAGCGACTAAAATTTAATTTTATCCTGTTGCTATTATTCTTTAGACACATTTGCATTTATATAGTAGGCCTATCATTGATCATTAATAATAATATATAACTAAAGGTAAACTGAGCAAATTTGTTATTTAAGAAGAGTGTATCAAACTGGTAGACCTTTGTATGGCTCAGTACCCGTGAAATAGCTCTCAGTTTCAAAAAGGTTGGTGACCCCCTGGTATATAAAGTTTGAATGTTTTTTCAACAAGGTAGATAACTGGTTATCTTTTTATTCGCCAAGTACAGAGAAATACAAGGAATTTCTTTTGTTGTGGGTGGTATTATGATATAAGCAAAACACACATACAAATAAACACCTAAAAGTAAAGATAAAAGGATTTTTATTTTTCTACAGGATATGTGCAATGCTGAGTCAAGCATGTGGACAATATAAATAAATAAATAAATAATGGATGGATGAAGCTTAGATACAGTGCAGATGAGTTAAATTAGTTAAACAGCAATTTGATAAAATATGACAATATGATATTTCTGCTTTTCAGTTGATCTTACTTTCTATTCTTCAAATGCTGTCTTACATTTTGTTACCAAATCGGTTAATTATGTCAATTCAAAAATTAATACATTTGCTACAGCAGGGGTAAACTGAAAATGCTGATCCACTGAAAACGTTAAAATAATTACGTTACGAATGATTGCATTCTTCTTTTTTGTATAGTAATAGTACTGCAAAAGAGGGCTGTTATGCCATCTCGAGATCAATTAATTGACGAATCAACGAAGACAGTTTCGAGTTTTAACCACTAGGTGGCCTTTATTGTACCCGGAAGAGCCGTTTTAACTACACACTAGCGCTGTCCACCATGCCCATCGCCCCGCTTACTTTTTTTTTTTTTTTTTGAGTCAGGACATGACTTTAATGGTGCGTTCGACGACGATGGTCGCGCGCACGCACAGTCACACAGCACAATTCCATCACAATAAATGCGACTATGGAGAATTTTTTAAAAGGCTGGCATCGGTCCACCCGTACCTCAGCGCTACAGCAATGCTTATTATATACTCATGTGGGCACAAGGTGCATGGTGATTACTGTATTTTAATCTGGGCTCATTTCACATTAAAAACTGCAACTTTATGCACTAATTGCGATTTTTAAAAAGTGGTCTCAAAGTGCTGCAGGTAAATGTACCTTTTAGTCTAATTTAAGGTATAGAAATGGACTCCAAAGAATAGTACTATTGGACCAATGGAGGTACATTAATGCTGTTTGTACCTTGGGGAACAGAAAAGTATCAGGGCTGTACTCTATTTTTCTTACAATGTACAATGAACATTTCTAGAGGTGCAGGTTTCGTTTCATGTTTAGGTTTCGTTTTATGTTTAGGTTTCGTTTCCCTTGAAAGGAACGGCGTTGTAAGGACGTACCACACTGCCCGTGGAAACTCCATTTGAAAGATTTTTGTTTTTATTAATAAACGAAGCAAGTTTTTTATACGAAATTTATAGTCATGACTTTTAATTCCCGGTTAGACCCAGAAACAGAAAAGAAGCTGCTGAAGCTCTTTGACCTGAATGTCAATTTCCGGCTGCTTTACAAGGGAAGTCACTTTAACTTTGATATTCGCAAGCTTTTTCAAATATGTTCGGATCAGGGAAGTTTTATACTTACTGTATATTTTGGGAAACATATTTTTGGAGGATTTCTCAAAAAGTCTCTTCCACGGAGCAATGAACAAGTAAAAGACGAAGATGCCTTTGTCTTCAGTTTGTATGACTCGGACTCGACCGCGACCCGCTTTTCAGTAAATGAAGGCCATCACGCTTTTCATAGGACTTACAGTAGCATTTCATTTGGAGACTGTCTAAAAGTCGCGGCATCTGACAGGGAATTCCACGTAAATTTATGTTCTACATATGATTTTAATTGGCCAGAATGGGACTGGGAAAAACAACTCTGTGAAGAAGTGGAATTGCATCGCGTCCAAGGTAGAGTGGAATACACATATGGATGAATTAACTTTTGTCAGAATTTTAGAGTAGCAGTTTAAAATAGATTTGAAAACGCATCTAGAAATCGGCTTTTATAATACTGAGGGAAAAAAGCTGGCTATGGTTGAGGTGCATGTTAACAGTGGCCGTGATACCGCTACATTTGTCAGGGTCAGCCCCTGCTGTGGTCCTACCGTGTCCCTTCCCCGTGTCCAGACAATCCATATCAGGGGACACTTTGCGCTAGGACAGGATTTATAAAGTGTCATTTGAATTAACTTGAATTAACTGAACTTAGGCACGAGTTCTTGCTGTGTGCTGATTGGTCACTAATGTTAATGTGAAACAGCTGGGTGAGTCTCAAGCAAAGAAAAAAACCAGTCAAAGCACAAGACAAACTGAACTTTTTAGCAAAGCATAGGAGCCTTTCAGTTTTAAAATAATTTGTAAAACCTGAAGTAACTTAGTGTCCTCCCTGCCATGGATTATCTGATCACCCTACACTATATTAAGAAGTAAAATGTACATGTGTTTACTGTGTTATACATAGGCCTATAACAGGATTGTATCAAATCAGTATAAGCTGTTGGCCAAAAAAAATAAACAGTGTGGGAATGCAAAGTATGGACTGGATGTGATACACGAAATCTCATCTGTATTGCAGCTGGAGATTTGCTCCCTGGACCATGGCGGGGTCTCCCATGGATAGAGACGTGAGTCTTCATATATGTATTTTATTATATCCAATCTGTCAAACCATATATGAGAAACATACATGTTATTCACGTAACTTACAAATGATCAAAGTCAGAAGTAGGTGAGGCTAGGTATATGTCACACACACCACACACACGTCACAATAACAACATACTGGAATTAAACACTAAGAATAGAATGCAAGGAGAATTAGACAGAACCAGAGAGATGAATTCCATAATGTCTTTCATTGCAACTTACATGTACAATTACCTTGTATAGATCTGCAATTACATTCTTTACTAGTAAAAACCTAATTATAGATAT